TTCCATAGATGCTGAAAAGGCTTTGGTCAAAATTAAGCACATTCCTTGTGAGGGGAAAAGAAAAGGAATAACTAGATGCTTTCTTAACATAATAAGATTTACCTCAACGTAATAAATCTATCTCTGCATCATGCTAAGGTGGGAGCTACCAGAAGTATTTAATATGGTACTGGAGGTATTGCCAGTGGAATTAAATGTACACATAAATATTGGAAAGGAGATAGCACTAGTACTATTTGCCAATGTGATCAAATTCCAGAAAAACCTAACAGAATCAACTAAAAGCTACTAGGAATAATAAGGACATTTAGTAAAGACTTTTTGCATACAAATTAGTCACAGAAATCAAACAGGAAGACTGCATATAATAGCTACCACCACATGGCACTTCTCATGGGCCACTGTTGTCAGGGTTTTATGTATATTAAGCCTTGTAATCTTCATCACAACCCTATAAGGTATATACCATTAGTATCTCCATTTAGAAATAAGGAAATGGAGTCATAGAAAGTAAGTCCTTCTTGGTCACAACTGGGCAGAATTTGAGCCCAGGCAGCCTAAGCCCCAGAATCCATGCTTTTTACCACTAGGCCATACTGGTTCTTGATACTTAAAAGAGGAGGCAAGGACAATTTACAATGGCGGCAACAACAAAAAACACCTAAGTATAAATTAAACAAAAAATATGCAGTACTTATGTGAGCACCCTTTAAAATCCCCTGAAAGGATGCAAAAGGGGCTTGAACAAATGGAAGGGGATACTATGTTTTGTGTACCTATATAACTGACTAAAAACCACATTAGAAAAAGAATGGATGGGAAATAAGGCATACGAAAATTCCAAGAGGAGATCACTCTTGGAAGAAAGACAACAGGTAATTAGAAGGGCTTAGGATATTAAGGGAGAATTCTTTATACTTGGGAGAGATTTGAGGAAGTTTAAAAGCTGAGGGGGAGACCTCCAATGAAAGGGAGAAGATAAAGGAAAAAGGGAGAATACGAGCAAAGAGATAAGGGGAAGGCAGTGGGATTTAAGATCACAGGTGAAGGTTTAGAACACTTTTTCCACTGACACAGGAAGGAATGAGGAAAGGAATGAAGTGGATACAGGTTCTGTGGGAAGAGGAATCAACAGGAAGTTGTTCTGATTTTAATGACTTATTTTTAGGTGAAGGAAGTGGCAAGATCGGAGTAAGGGAGAGTGTGAAAAGTGGCACTGCTTTGGAATAATTGCTGAGGGGTAGGGAAAAAGGGATCAAAGATAAATAAAAGCATTGAGGAGTGATGGGCCCCCAGTAAATTGGAAGCTGAGCTTTTGTAACAGCCACAGTGTGAATAGTTTTGCAATGTTCCCCTGCTGCTGTGATGAAGATGGAGAGATGATATTCTCAAGGCGAATTATGTTGTTGGGGTCTCATGGTTTGGGGTTACTGGAAAGAAAATGGAGCGAAAATGCTGAGACAAAACAGTTCAATGACGGATAGGGAAGGAAATGCAACCTAAAAAGATTAACAACTAGAGGAAAATGATGGGATCTGGGGGTTAGGTATCTAAATGAGATCAGTGACTAAGTAGGTGGAAAGGCGAAGAACTCGGGGTTTTGAGCTAAGAGAGAATTGCTGGAGATTAGGTTTACAGTGCTGGGGATCTTGCTGATGACAAGAATGTGGACATGTGTGGGAGTGGTTTAAATAGAGTGGCGGTTACTAGAGTGGAAGTCAAGAAACCACAAAAATGACCATGTTGGGCACTTCATTCTCTAGTATGATTACAAAGGAGGAATGAAGAAGAACTAGACTTAGGTGAATGTCCTCAACGAATAGAAAAAAGTGGCCTGGAAGATATTAGGTGTCACAGCAAAAAGAAAAAGGTGGTAGAGCTAGGTGAGAAAAAAGGGAGAGCTTTGAACGGCAGTGAAAGAGTGAGAAAGGATGTGGAAGTGGTCTATCGGGAGAAGGGTGTGTGCCACAGTTAAGTGCATTGGTTGGGAGGACAGGCAGTCTCCACTTGAAAAATAAAAAGGACTCTAAGGGAAATGGTGTTGGATGACTTCAGATTGGGCAGAGAGAAAAGGAGCTAATTTTATTGATCATCTAATGTATGCAAAACTCTATAACATAGTCTGCACAACAGCCCTTTCATAATAATTTCCACTCTGGGAATAAAGAAGTAGATTTAGAAAGCACCAGTAATGTGCTTGCAATCACATAGTTACAAAAATTGAATCTCCAGTTAGACCCAAGTTCTATATGGTTCTAAACCTGTGCTATTTTCTTCTTTTAAAAAACAAAACAAAACAACAACAAAAAACATGGTCTTGCTCTGTTGCCCAGGCTGGAGTGCAGTGGCGTGATCTTGGCTCACTGCAACCTCCACCTTCCGGGCTAAAGTGATCCTCCCGCCTCCCCAGTAACTGGGACTGCAGGCTTGCACCACTACAACTGGTTGATTTAAATTTTTTTTTGTAGAGAGGAGGTCTCACTACATTGCCCAGGTTGGCCTCAAACTCCTGGGCTCATGCTATCAATCTGCCTCAGGCTCTTGTGCTGGGATGTGTGAGAGACCGTGCCTGGCCTGCTATTTTAATAAATATGCTTTCTTGTTTCTGTTGGGGAGGCATCATTCCAGCAAGATGGCAGACCAAATAAGAAAACCTGTCTACTATGAATTCTTAGGAATGTCAGATGAAATAAATCAGAATTCTTTACAAGGCCTAGCTAATCTCATAAGAAATAAAGGGAAATACTCAGGTATCAGAATCAAAGAGAATGAGAAGCTCCAATGAGCATCCAATAGGATTTCCAGGAGAAAATAAAGAAAAAAAACAAAAAAGAGGGCTGATCATTTTCATAGTTGATAAATCCTAAGATTCAAGAGGCACAAGTCCCAAGCAATGTGAACAGAAACAAATTCATAGCTCAACACACATAGTAGTAAAATTGCAGAATACCAAAGACAAAATAAAAATCTTTAAAGCCTCTAGGGGAATTTATTCCAGAACAGGGAGAAGCTGGGAGCGAGATCAGTGGGAGACGGGGGATCTGTAGTGGGATGTGAACACAGCAGTGTTGGTGGGTGTGCAATGTGGCATGGGGTGACTGCATGGGCTGTGTTTTGGGCAGGAAATACTTGCAGGTTGGGGTGAGTGTTTGTATTCACCGTGGTTTCTCACTGGAGGGATTCAACTGCTCTCAGATCTGGGGGAGAGACCAGGCATCCTCTCTTTCAACTCAAGTAAGTACAGGGTAAACACTGCTCTCAGACCCTCAATAACTATTTGGTACATGAATGAATGCAAGATAAGCATTTTAGGAATAGTGAGGCCAACCTGGTGGCCACACTTGGACTGCTGTGACTGGTCAGAGTGGGGAAAGGCCTCATAGCTATTCATGGTATATACAGTTGTGCTTATAAATGTGATTTCATGTTAAGAATCCAAAGCAGTATAAAATAAACACAAAACAATCTCTCACATCCTTTCTATTTTCTAAGCTGATTATAAACGTTAATGAAAATTTAAATAACAATGGTAAAACCCAGAGCAAAGTTTCCGGAGCCTGTATACGTGTAGTCCTGCTCGTCATAGCGAATGTGTTTCAACCACAGACGTAAGTGGCAGAATACAATCTTTACCTCCCAGTAGGATTTGATAACATAAAAGAAATCAATTAGAATTGTCTCATTCACGCCTTATCATGTGCTGATGTTGCAAAACACCAAAAAAGAAAGATGTAGTATTTTTCTGCCTTTATCCTCTAGTTTAGGTTTAGCTGTGTAGGGTGTATCAGACCTTTCCACTCACCCAACCTGTTCTATCTACACAATGAGTCTACCCTGAGCAAGTGCTGATCCAAAACAAAGTCCTGTTCTCCCACTGGCCATGATTAGGTCACTAATGTGGCAGAAGAACCGTGATAGACGAAGACAGCTCTATTGTAAAGAAGGGCTGTAGATCTAAGCCTATACTCATGGTCTAATATTCCAATATTAAAATTCTGTAAACAGCCCACTGAAGGCTTTACATTAGAAAAAAGGACCTACTATAGAATAAACACTTTGATAAATGTTTCAACTATTTTTTATCAGTAAGTTTTGGAGGAAGAAAGCACGACACCACCATTTTCAAACATGAGGAACTGAGTCTCATCATTATATAAGCAGCCAAAGACTTCTCAATTCTCCTGTGGTAGATTGGGGTCTGGCCTAATCTGGCACCAAGCCCTTGATCCTTCCACTGTGGCACCTGCCTTTTTATGGAGGCTGAGCCTTGAGTGCCTCTAACACCCCAGCAAGCAGGACTGACCAGTGAGAGTCAGGGGCAGTTTGGTTTGGCATAGTTTATTACAATTAGTGTGCACATAAAACCATGTAAACTCCACAAAGTAAACTATTTACCCTCCACACTAACCAGCAGTTAGTCTGCCACGACCTTCCAGCACCCCCATTATTTTAACATATATACATTTCACAGGATGTAATAACCATACAAATAGAGTTATAATACATTCTTTAGGGAAAAAATTTTTTGGTCCATATTTTCTATTAAAAAACACGCACACGCATTTTCCTCTTTGGCAAAAGAGGTTAAATCCCCCATACTTAACTCACAAAACAAACCCAAATAAAAACTACTGAACATGAGGTACAGCTGAGGTCTGGGCTGTTCTGGAATTACAGACGCCTCCTTGAGGGGAAAATCATTTCTTATAAAGTCAGATCAGTTTCCAACAGTTTCATGTCAGTAGAAAAGCTCGATTTAGACTTGGTCAGAGTCACTTTTGTATGAACATGTTCCAAATAACTTTGTTTTTCAGAGGACAATGGAAGTCACGAAAATGTGCTACTTCTGAAGAAAGTCATGAAAAGTGTGGCATCTGACCTCAGCAATATTTTTAATCTGAGGTACGAAAACATCTGACACAGCCATTCACACTAATTCCTGTGCCACCTTCATGGTCACGGGAGCTGGGTCCACCTCTTCGCATCCCCCTCTGAAGTGGAGACTAAGGAAACGGGCAGCTGCTGAGGTGTTCCTTCTTTGCTTGTTTTTAAATCCACAGTCATAATTGCTAAATAAACAACCACCCTGGTGTGCTTTTCATGCTTCAAGTAATTCATTTCTTCCAGGAGAAGAATGTTAAAAATGCTTTTAGTACTAGTTATCAAAGGAGAGGAAATGACTCACAGTAACAAGAAGATTAGGTTTAAGCAGACCTGCTGCTAACACAGTATCAGATAATATACTGAAAAACATGAACACACTATTTATATACGTTTTGCAACAGCTGCATTTTGCCACTTAACCTCTGTGCAGAACTAAAATCTGATAGAGCAAACTTAAGTTACTTTTATTCTTGTTAAATACAACTCTGTACAGATTACACCTTTAACACCAAAGCAGCTCAGTATCACAGTCAGAGGAATGAAAAAGCCATCAGAAAATTTTCGTTTTTCTAGTCCAACAACACCCAACAGACGCACCCTAACGGTCAGCACGAAACCAGCTGTACAATTTTGTAAACAGTATGACAGGTTGTCTCTAGGATCCTACCGAATCTCACACACACACATACACACGCACACACACTCTGGGCCAGCAGGCTCCCTTTTTCCAGTGCCCTGCGACAGCCCGACGCTCAGTACCACAGCAGGCTTCTTTCACATTGTGTTCACAAAAGGGCAGTCATGGCCGTCTGGTTGAGGGGTGTGAGGCAGTCGCTGGGGGCAGAATAGCTGTCACTCGTCCCGGGATGCGTTGGGGGCTTCTGAGAGTCAGGGTGACCGCTTTCGGTGGCGAAGGCGCTGGCGGCTTTGGGCCGGTCGTAGCCCCTGTCCGCAGGCTGCACGCTCTGTGGCCTTTGATAGTCTCCGTTGTGGGCGGGGGAGAAGCCGCCCGAGGAGAGGGAGTGTTTGTGGCCCGGCTGGGGCCCGGGGACGCGGTAGCCGCTCTGCGCGGAGAAGGTGTGGGCGCGCAGCAGGTGCCGCTCCACGATGGGCGTGGCGTACTCGGGCTCCGGGGGCGCCAGGGGCAGCGCGTACTCATGGCGGCCGGCGCGCTGCGGGCAGTCATAGTGGCCGCCGGCGTCTGTGCCCGCCCCCGACTCCTCGGTGTCCGTGTCCATGGGCCGGAAGGTGGAGCCCTTCCTCGTGACTGTCCCGGTGCCAATCATGAGAGGCTGCTGGTAATCTGAAACCACAGGACAGATGGCACTTAGCAGGCACCGCACACGGGCCGGCCCTTCGGTGGCAGACGGGGATACTCTGCTTCAGGTTGTGGTGACTGACTCTCCCGCCGGGGGCCCTCAGGTGTCCCAGGCACTGCGGGAAAACCCTGATGTGAAAGCCATAGAAGTCACCCACAGGCAGTACACAACCGCACCGCTTGCTCAGGGAGCCTCACAGGGTCTTCTCAGAGATGGGGGCGATGACCATGTCCTGGGGCATGGAGAGATACTTCAGGGAGGAAGTGGCTCTGAAACTGGCTCTGGAGATGCTCTGGAGGTGGAAGTCACATAGTGTGGAAATGGAGAAAAGAACAGTACCAAGAATAGAGTTTGATATGGCCAGAGTATGAGGGACACAGAGTAGTTTGTTTAACAGGATATGAGGACCAAAGCAATAGGTCAGGGCCTAGTGGTGACAGTGAGGATGAAGCTAGGAGCTCACATTTATAGAGCTCCTACTCTGTGCCAGGCGCTACTCCAAGAGCAAAATGTTAATAATCTTCAAAAACATTCCCCGAGGTAAGGACTGTTACTCCATTTTACAAATGGGAAACCAAGGCAGGGAGAGACTAATTAACTTTTCCTAGGTCGCACAATGGGGTGATGGAGGAGGATTCGAACACACATTGTTAGCCACACCTTAGGGCATGGAAAAGCGTTGATTGTCTTGCTAGAAGTCTGGTTTAATTCTATGGGAAACGACAGACTGGCACTTTCAGAGGTAACTGTGGAGGTCGACTGAAGAAGAAAAGATCGAAAAGTGAGAGGTAAAAAAGCAAAGAGAAATGCACATAGAGGTCACAAACTAGAAAGAGGAAAGGTGACTCTTTGGGACAGGAATCAGGAGTTTGTTACCAATGAGAGGTGTGAGGAAAGAGGGGAGGCAAGGACCCTTTCCAGAGCGTAAGCCTGGATGAGGCTGGGATGTGCAGTCGAGAGGCCATTAGACAAGGAATGCACAGAGCATGTGTGCTGAGGGTTAGGAACAATGTTTCGATTGTGGGTGCTGAGAAACGGGTGACATCTGCAGGTGGAGGCATCCAGCAGGCTGCTGAGAATGATGGACTGGGGACTGAGAGGGAAGTCTGGGTGTGAGAAGCAGCATTGACAAGACATACATGGAAGGGCACTGCTGGAAGTTGGGGAGGGTGTGGGACTGTTTAGGGGAGAGACTGTGGTGAGTGGGGGTTAGACAGAACCTGTGTCATTCCACATTTAAGGAGCCTGAGAAGGACCATTCAGCAAGGAAGAAGGAGAGGCTGAATTAGAAGCTGAAGGAGAATGAAAGGAGTAAGAGTACAGAAAATAGGTTCTCACTTCATGTCCCTTCCAAGGAACAAGAGGATAGATTTTGGTTGCAGAGGATGCTCTCCTTGCCCACAAAGTGGCTCAACCAACACGCTGACAACTCCCAGTCAGATGTGCACATGCATCACCTGGGAGCTTCCGGTTCTATGGCCTCCCGTTCTAACAAGCCCCCAAGTGATGCCTGTACTGCAAGTCCTCAGGCTGCATGTGAGGAGGGAGAAGCCAGCAGCACAGTGCTACTCAGAGCATGCCCCACAGAGTCCTACATATCAGAGAACTGTTTTTAGCAGTGCCACAGAGACAGATGCAGAAATTGAGATTAAGTGTCAAGAAACTACTCTTAAGTTACTCTTTGTCACTCTTAATTTTATGTCTGTTTAATCTAATAAAAAATTACAGTTTTGTATTTTGTATGTCTTTAAAATTTCCTTTTTACTAGTATTTTATATTGCATTTTACAGTGTATTCATTCATGATAGAGTAGATATTTTTAAAAAAGACACAAAAAGCATTTCCCCATAGATAGTTTGGGAAGCTTGACTCTTGATGATGGCTTGTCAGGGACACTGAGGCTCTTCTCATACTGAGAGGGTTCCTTTATTTCCTATCTCACCTTCCTCAGGGCAGGAACTGTATTTAATTCCTCCTTCTAGTCCCTCTTTACCAGTGCCTTAATCAAAGCTTTGGTAACGAAAATAGATTCAGGGCTTCCAGATACTAGTGGTACATCAGGGCTATCACTCTGGATGTCACTATATCCCCTGCAGGTGAAGAGACTGGCTGAATAGGGCTTTTAAGTAATATCTCAGAGTCAGTTTGTAATTCTGTACAGAACGCAGAAAAGATACATTTCAGATTTATTGGACCCTATCTAAACAGAAAAGGATTTTGCTTTATTTCTCTCCTATCTCCCTCCCCCCTAAGCGGCACCTCCAATCTAACAGCACTGTTCTGGAAATATGACACTTACCTGCCATATCACTTGTGATGAGATCTAACTTTTGTGTCATTTCCTTCTCATTATCATAGCTGATGGTAAACTCAGCTGACTGATGTCTGGCAAAGGGATATTTAATCTGCTTCCAACAGTCTGGAATAAAGGTAACATGAAACAAATGAATATGTCAGAAATGTAATGCGCATCCTCCAGAACATGTTCCTTGATGAGTCAGAGGTCAGGCTGCCTCCTGACAGCTGACAGTGATAAATGCCCTCCTCAGGTGTGTGTGCTAAGAACAGCATGTCAAGGTCGTTAACCACAACAGCAAACACTATTCTAATCATGCTTTCCGCTGTGCCTTTAAAAGGTATTTTGCCCTCATTAGATCCCAGATTCTCCCTTCGTGAGATCATCTGGCTGTGGTCTCCCACAACCTGCACTGGCATGGCATCTGTGACACAGAGGAGACACTGCAGCTGGTGTTCAGACCCTGGGGAGATGGAGTCTCAAATGGTCCCTGAGCTTTCTCAGGGGTCCTGCCCCACTGCCTTCTCTCTCTGGACCATGGCTAACTCATTGCTTGGGTGCCTGTGTCTCAGAAAGTGAGAAAAAGACCAGGGAGGGCTGGTGTGCAGGATCATCTGAAACCTGCACACCAGCCCTGCCTGGTCTTTTTCTCACTTTCTCAGGGTGGAAAGTACAGCACAGGCCTGCAGATGCTAACAACACGGGCCTACTTCAGTTCACTGATAAGGCTTTTGCCGTACCTCCTTGGTGGCAGACAGTGTCGTGGCCTAAACTCTAGTGGCCAAGAAGAAAGGATGTTGACAAGTGATGGGGATGACATTGAACAAAAGTAAAGTGGCCATTAAAATAAAGAAACAGGACACAATAAATTCCTTCCTTATAGATATGCTACTTTAAAGGCTACAGGGCTTATGTCTTTTAACCAAATAAATGCAGGCCACTGGCCTCCTTATGCTTTCAATCAGCAGATCCTGTCCCTTCCTCAAAGACAGATAAAATTTTTAGATAGAGTTTTCAACCAACCTGTTTTCTGAGCCTCTGCTGATCCATATGGACTTCCTTTCTTCTTCTTCCTATCAAAACAGAAAGTCCTACTGAATATTTATAAGCCACTGCATCTTCCTCTTTCTCCCTATGTAACATGAGGATCATAATAGTACTTACCTCATAGGGTTGATGTGAGAATTAAATGAGATGGCAGCTGCCATGTGCTTTAGAAAATCATACAAATATGTAGAATTATCTATAAATTTATCTCATTTATAAGAAAGGTCACAAGATTTCACAAGAATATATACTAATCTTATTTTGCATATTAGAAATCGATGCCTTTAGTTTATGACTAGCTCATGCAGTGATCCTGAAGCAATTCCTCATGACCACATGGTCTCACTTCATCTCTACTATACTCCAGTCCAAACTGTGGGTGTCTTTAAAAGCATTTCATACAAGCACATTACACTAAGGCATGCTTTAGCTTATGAGTATCTACCTGAACCAGAGACTTTTGTACCTTCTCTCATGATGGCAGAAACTATTCTTCATTCTATTTGTACTAATATACACATTATAGATTCTGAAGTTGCTTAAAATATAAAAAGAGAAAACTTCAGAATACTTTCCATTTCTTTTTAGATCCAACAGCTAACATTTGTGAAAATAAACATGTATTTTAGGGTTCTGGAAGAGATTCAGAACTCATCTGGGTAAACTGTATTTCATACATAAGGAAACAGAGGCTTGGGGAGGCTGAGTTATTGGGCAGCTTGGTGATACCCCAAGCAGCCTATTTAATATTCCTTTTACTCTTCGGGGAGGAAAAGCACAGATGCTTTTAAAGCAATATGTCAATTTCAGGATACTTCAACAATACTCAAAGGTTAGGTCTTTACCAAAGGTCTCTAAATGACAAGAACTGCTTATAAAGTAATACATGGTGGGATGCGGTGGTTCATGCCTCAAATCCCAGTGCTTTGGGAGGCCGAGGTGGGAGGATCAAATGAGGTCAGAAGTTTGAGACCAGCCTGGGTGACAAAGCAAGATCCCATCTCTAGAAAACATAAAAAATTAGCTGGGCATAGTGGCACATGCCAGTAATCCTAGCTACTCAGGAGGTTGAGGCAGGGGGATTGCTTGAGCCCAGGAGTTTGAGTGATCTCACCACTGCACTCCAGCCTGGAAGACAGGGAGACCCTGTCTCTAAAAAAAGATTAATAAAGTAATACTTGATCATTTCTTTTATCTAACTTGTTTTTAAAATATAAGTTAACATTTTATTTTGAAACAAGTCATGCTGCTTTTGTACGTATGCATTTCTGAAGAATAAACATTTTGGTTTTTTGTTTGCATAATTAGAGAAGAAATTTAAATATGTAAAGTCACCATACTTTCGAAAGGCTGCAAAGATCCCCATTCCAGCAAATACCAGGACAACAAGGAGCACCAATGGAATAGCCACCGTTGTAATGTTTATTCCTAAAGAAGAGGGAAAGCCATCACGTTACAACATAAATGACCGACAACCACATTTCATGATCTAAAACTGAACATGGAATTGAAAGTCTTTAAGTATTTAATGCAGGGGGAAAATGAATACATGCTAGGCATTTACTGATATTGGAAAGCAAAAACAAAGGATTCAAAATCTTGGCTAAAGTTTGGGAAAATAAAATTTCTCCCCCAGCCCCCCAGAGACAGTTTCCAATGTTCCTCAGGGACTAACAGGTACACTGGGCTTGTTGCTTGGCCCATATTAAACTCCAAAAATCTGAAATGAGGGGGGAGTTTAACCAACACCCCCCCCACCCCTCAGGTGAGAACTATTTAAGACAGGTAAATGATTTCAGCACAGTGTGGAGCTCCTACTTTGGCTCAAGCAACCCATTTCCCCAGATGGCAGGCGGGTTTGGACCTGTACCATAACAGTAGCCTGGAAAACTGGGATCCTCGTAACAGAGCTCTGGGGCTGCGGACTGACAGGAAGTGCAGCCTGATGACCTCAAACAGCATTTCCACTATGTTGCATGAAACACCACGTCATGTTTTCCTATAGCTCTTTCTGCTCTAAAAAAAGGACACTTTGACAGCCCCCAAGGCAGGCCCCAAGTTTGTAGAAAATACACGAAGTAAAGGAAAAATATTTGCTCTTCATCTTTCTCTTCTGTGATCTCTGGGAAGAGGATAAAGGGATGCTTAGGAATGGAAAAATGCAATTCATGAAGAAGGGGAAGAGGGACTTAGATGAAAACAAAATTTGTGTATAAGTAACAGCAGTGTTATTATTATTTTTTTATTTTTTTATTTTTTTAGAGATGGCGTCTCACTCTGTCACCCAGGCTGGAGTGCAGTGGTGTGATCTCGGCTTGGGCAACCTCCGCCTTCTGGGTTCAAGCAATTCTCCTGCCTCAGCCTCCCGAGCAGCGGGGACTACAGGCGCATGCTGCCAAGCGCTGCTAATTTTTTGTATTTTATTAGAGACGGGGTTTCACTGTGTTGCCCAGGCTGGTCTTGAACTCCTGAGCTCAGGCAATCCGCCCGCCTCGGCCTCCCAAAGTGTGAGGATTACAGGCCTGAGCCACTGCGCCCAGCAGTGGTGTTATTTTTAAGAGTGAAAATTTGGGGAAAATCAAACAACTTCAGCATCCAACAGCAGGGAAATGGTCAAGTCAATAACGGTTTACCCATGTGAAAAATACTACAAAGAAACATTAATAACTGGGGTTTTCAACCTTCCAATAACATTGGAAAATGCTCATGACACAATGTTAAATGAAAAATATATGCTGCAGAACAGAATAATATGCTACCATTTTTGTCTTAAAGTTAGAAATATAAATATAGTTGACTGGAAACAGTGAGATTTGGTGATTATCTATGGATACTGATTTATGACTAAGTTTTGTTTTCTTATTTGTGTTTTTCTAATCTTTCCAAATCTCGTAAAATTGATATGCAAATTATTTTATATTCTGAAAAAATGTACTTTTAATGTTCATTATTTGAACAGATTATACACTTACATGTTCAAAATGCAAAAAGTATACAAAAGTATGGAATGGAATGTGTCCCTCCTACCTCTCTTCCTCCTTCACAGAAAGCTGCATTATGTTTCTTGACATTTTTCCAGAGACAACGGAATGAATATTTGTTCTTTATTTCTCCTTTTTGCAGAAAGGGTGGCGTGCTACTTAAGATAGTTCTGTATTTTGCTTATTTTTTTTTAAGTTGCCTCTACATCTCAGTGAGCTTTTTATATTACCAATACATTCTTTGTTTTGTGGCTGCAGAGTGTTCCATTGCATGAATGTGCTAACATTTTATTTTTCCACAAAATACGTACCTAGTGTTTGAAGGGCACATAAGTTCATTCCTAATCTTTTTCTATTTATAACACTGCAACGAAAACTGTAAACATACATCATTTTACAATATGTGCCAATACCACTGGATCATCCACCTCCAGCATTTATATGACAGAGAAAAATAAATTTTGTTGAAGTTACTGATATTGGGTGGGGTACTAGTTATGCTCCTTATGAAACCACAAAACAATCACTGCTCTACCTGGGGATGTTTCTTCTGAGGGGACGGGCCTTGTGATTGTCTCATCTTCTTTCTTACTTGAAACACTGGTGCTTTGACTTGTCTTGCGCCACACCAATGAATCATTACCTGAGAGAGGAGGGATGTTGGGAAAACCACATTAGTAACAAGGATAGGCAAAAAAAAAAATATGACCAAACTTGAGTAACTCACTGGCTTGCCCTGAGCCCTACCTTGTGTTATCTGGCAACCAATGAGCTCCACCTTCAAGGCTATCCTCTGGTGCCATGTCTGGGGGACAACACGCACATATCTGGCCACGATAGGAGGGATGAAATTGTTCTGCACTGGGTCCCGAAAGTTAGAGTTACCCTGAAACACCTATAGAAGGAAGTTATTTTTACCTTAAGATTCTATTAGTTAGTTTTTAAACGTTTATCATCCCACTTATACTTGGTTATATGAAACCAAGGCAAGAATTCTATGTCTGTTGCATTTTTCTAGACACTGTCGATATTGAAGATACGAGGCTTTGTAAACAAGGGCCAATTTATCTAACTAAGATCATGCTGCTCATCTGTTTAGTGATTTAAATTTCATTTTGGATAAAGAAGCTAAAATTGCCTTGTTGTATTATTTGACCTTAATATTTCTACATTTAGCTGGTGCTACAGACAAGCAACCTCAAGAGTGCAAGGCTTCAGCTCTCTCACTTTTGCTGTTTCCTTCCAAATTCTCATTGCCACTAACAGGATCCCAAGACAAATGTCCAACTCAAATATCCACCATGCTTATACTGAAGCAGCCATTTCACATTGCCAATTATCATTTCCCAAGAAAATCACAAGTATTTCATTCCTGAAGTGGAAAAGAATTAAATCACAAATCTCTCAAGGTTTTTATTGACACATTTGTTATTCTTGCATGCCAAGAAAGCACCATCTTTTTTTTTTTTTTTTTTGAGATGGGATCTTGCTCTTGTCGCCCAGGCTGGAGTGCAATGGTGCAATATCGGCTCACTGCAACCTTCGCCTCCCAGGTTCAAATGATTCTCCTACCTCAGCCTCCCAAGTAGCTGGGATTACAGGCGCCAGCCACCACGTCTGGCTAATTTTTGTATTTTTAGTAGAGACAGGGTTTCACCACGTTGGCCAGGCTGGTCTCGAATTCCTGACCTCAGGTGATCCCCTTGCCTTGACCTCCCAAAGTGCTGAGATTATAAGTGTGAGCCAGCGTGACCAGCCCATCATCATTTTAAACATTTTATTTTATTTTAGAGACAGTATCTTACTCTGTTGCCCAGGCTGTAGTGCAATAGCACAATCATTATTCACTGTAATCTTGAACTCCTGGGCTCAAGTGTTCTTCCTGCCTCAGCCTTCCAAGTATGTAGGACTACAAGTGTGCACCACCACATTTGAGTAATTAAAAAAAAATTTTTTGTAGTGGTGGGATCTTGCTATGTTGCCCAGGATGGTCTCAAATGATCCTCCTGCCTTGGTCTCCCAAAGCTTGGGGATTACAGGCATGAACCACCACGCCTGGTCTCACTGTCTTTTATTAATGAGATATTTAATGTAAACACACTGATGAAAATATATAGAGGCCTGTTCTCCTACTCAGTTCTCTTGCCTCCAGGGTTACTTCTTACCTTTTCTTCATTATTCACAATTCCTTTATAGGTCTTCCACTTGGAATTATTGTTTTTGAAGTTCATCACAAAACTCTTAACATAAAAGTTGAAATTCGACTGTGTAGATCCTGTGGTCCTAATTCCTTGTAAGAAAATAGTATTTACAGGCTATTTTTAAAAGTTTGTTAAATATAACATGTATTATAATTTCAAGTTTCATTTTTTTCTCCCTCATTTGAAACCGCAAATCATCTCACAGGCCAACTTATATTAGTTGCATTTAAAAATCTGTTCACAGATTAATGTTTTCACACTGACAATATACCATATAAAGGTTTCACCACTGAAAAAAAAATCTCTCTCTAATCCATATATCCATATTTACCACTTGCATACAGGCTCTTTTCACAGAAAGAATGTAAAGATTTGTTACATTTTCAAATATTTCAAGAACTTGGAGGTAGGCAGAGAGGCACCTATGTACACAATAAGCGTATTTTCAACTGCAAGCCATTTACAGTCAGGAAACTACCCCTGCACTTTGCACTTGTGTTACTTTCTGCACCTGTTATTTTCTTTTTCTCCCCCAAATCGATCTCCAGCCACTCTCGTGGTTTGTGGTTGCTGCTACTGTCGCCCGAAGCCCATGATGGGCCCTGGTCCTGAAGTCGGGCTTGGCCAGGAGACCAGTGAACTTGGTCTCCACTCTCATTGACCGACTGCCATGAGGAAGAAGCTCTGATTTGCCCGTCAGGATCCAAACTCAAGGATCTGCTGCAACCTGGAAAAAAGAGTACAGTAAGATATTTGAGATACAGACATAAAATAACAGCAAAAAAAAAGTAGTACCCCATCTCACCTAGAAATATTCAACTGGTTGACTTTTATTCTGACATGGAATCAAGTGTTTAATTACCAGCTTTTAAATGTTCCAGACTTGCATTTCACTCATTTGTTCTACCATGCCTTGAAGCTGTTACTGCTTTTCTTTTTAATAGACCTCCAAGTCACATCCTTTGTAAGTGACACCTCTTCATCCCCACTGTCGATTTTATTTTCTAACCTTCTAAATTCATCCTGATTTCAACGAAGTGCAATCTGTGTTAAAGGTTTAAAATGCTGTGTTCCTTCTCACTTTAAAATATTTAGAATCAGAGGGGAACCCCATTTTTTCCACGTACTTGAAAAGCAGATGTGTCTAAGTCCTCTGAAGATCAGTAAGTTGTACCCAATATTCATCCAAAGGACCTTAACTATACCATGCCCAATATGCCAATGTGAAGTCAGCAAATAAAGGCAAACAAGAAATATTCGTAGTGTCTTCCTTGAAATGGTTTATGCTGAGAGAGAATATTTATGTAGAATACATTTCATGATGGAGAAGCTAAAAAGCCTTTATTCTGTATACTCATTTTCAGTAACTTTATTCAAAATAGTAACAAACCAAATTGCAATATTTGAAAGCTGTTTCTCTTAAAATCTAAGATAAAGGGATTTATCTTAAAATAAATACTTCACTTTTTACTATTTTTGGCAAAAGTTTGAGAGAGAGTTTAGATTACAAAGAAACATATTTTCTGCTTAATATTAATTAGGCTTATTGTCCTGTGGATGGTTAAGTCAAGATTTGGTGTGGGTGGCTGAAGGAAGAGGATTGCTTAAGCCCAGGAGTTTGAGACCAGCCTGGGCAACATAATGAGACTCTGCTTCAAAAAAAAAAAAAAAAAAAAAAACACCTTTTAAAGTATATAATCTGAAGGGTATGGAGGAATAAACTACTACTGATACTACTGAAGACTTTTAAAATATCAAATTCTTTTTTTTGTTTTGAGACGGAGTCTCGCTTTGTCACCCAGGCTGGAGTGCAGTGGCGCGATCTCGGCTCACTGCAAGCTCCGTCTCCTGGGTTCATGCCATTCTCCTGCCTCAGCCTCCTGAGTACCTGGGACTACAGACGCCCGCCACCACGCCCACTAATTTTTTGAATTTTTAGCAGAGATGGGGTTTCACCATGTTAGCCAGGATGGTCTCGATCTCCTGATCTCGTGATCCGCCTGCCTCGGCCTCCCAAAGTGCTGGGATTACAGGTGTGAGCCACCGAAAATATCAAATTCTTAAGGAAAACATGATCCTTACCATTGGAGGTAAACAGAAATCGCTTGTCTGACAGGGAACCACTGAAACAATAAAGACAAACATGAGAAGGTGAGTTGCTTACCTAGATCTTAGTGACTAATATAGCTGCATCCCAGAGCTTTCCCACCTGTGCTTCCTCACATGATCCTCACAACACCCCTGCAAACCTACTGGTATTATCTTCATCATCAGTATTTTATAGAACGAGAAACTTAGACCCACAGAAGGTAAGCAACTTTCCTAAATTCATACAGGTGACAAGGGGCTAGACTCTGAGATGCTGCTTTTGAATCAGAATCCTGTGCTATTTCCACCATGCTGAATTTGTGGGAAAGGAATGTGTAGATACACAGTCTCAGGAATAACCTTACATCTCAATTAATTAATGCAAGATGATGAAGACAGAAAGGATTACTGTCCTGAAATCTCCCTTTGTTTCAGCAGTCACCTTAGAGTGTCCCACTCATTTCCATCTGCCTTCCCCACAGATCTCTTGACTCTCATTGAGGATCTTGTTTCAGCAGTGTTACTCTGGGACAGTCTCTGCCCTGTCTCTCTCTCTCCACAGCCACACTCCTACCTACTGTAGCAACCAGCACCAAGCCTTGAACCAGCTCCTGCTCCTGGATGACAAGGAACAGCTGGAGAAAACACACAGCATGTCAGTGAGCTGGCCTCACTGCCGCTTCTGTCACTATCACATGAGAAATGATCGCATCAGCCTCATTCTGCAGTTGTCTCCTTCAGAGCAGAAGAGATTCCTAAGGCCACAGGAATGTCCTTATCTACCTTTGAAGACCAGATCAACCTTTAAAATAATCCCTCACAAAGTCAGTGGTATGAAAAATACATAGAACAAATGGAAAATCTGGAGGCCTCAACATTAGCTTTATGCGCACAGTATTAGATACTAGAGGTAAACACCGAAAGGTAGATGCCCCGGTTGTGTCCAACTTTTTACAACTATTTTACAATCTCAGAGTGCTGCTTATTATTTTAAATATTTAATTCTGAATTAGAGATGGGAATAATGGACACAGAGAGTACTAAAACATGAAATCCACAAAGAATCCAAAAGTACTCTGGCCAAGAGTATAAGTACCTTCCCGTCAAAAGCTCTTTTTAGAAGTAATGGGTAGTGAAACTCTCTAGAATAGATTTTTTCTTTCACATTGTCTATGCTTGGCAGACTCCATAAACCCTGGTATTCCACATATAGGTTCTTCTATAATCTCTGCACTGAATATAATGCAGGCACCTATCATTACTTACATGAGAAAACTCAGACCCACACGGGTCCTGGGACTTGCCTAAGTTCACGGTTAGCAAAAAAGCTTGGATGAGAACTCAACTCTCCTGACACGTAGAGAAAGGCGCTAATCATATTAAAATTGTATTAAGATTTATGTAGAACCTCTTTTTTGTCTCTTTTTCCATTTTCTCTAATGTTCCTGCGCTGTTAAATTTGAAATGTGGCTCAAATAAGCCTAAATAATGCTGCGACAACCCTAAGAAACTAAGCTCACTCCCATTGCCATGAAATATTAGCTTTGTTGTTGACCAAAAAGTATGGAAAGGATAACTCTGGAGTTAATCCTGAGAAGAAACCAGGAGAAGCTCTGCTTCTAACAGCTCTCTGCCTGGCTTTCCTCTGTTATCAACTGGAAAATGTTTTTCCATTTAATTCCACTGAATGAATTAAATACAGACCACTTAAAGAACTCTATAGGTTACTAGGCCTATTCTTTTAAAAATAAAAACACCCTAGGGAGGTTAGGGTTCTGAAGCATTCACACATTAGAGTGAATGAATTCAATCAGATTACAGGAGTAAGGAGCCTTCCCAGAGGGCTACAGAAGCATCAAGAATCATCTGATGGAAACAGAAAGAAGGTTTTTGCTTCTGATGGTTAGCACCATCGTCCCCTGTATGAGTCAGTCCCTCTTCCTGAAACCATTCTGGTCTCTTCAAATCAAGGAAATGACCTGACGGGAGATGAATCCCAGAAGAGCCCTGGATATTTACTTTAGGGACTCCTTCCTCAGCTGCAATACTTCCTTCTCTGGTTTTTCCTGAATGCCAAACAATCATGTGTGGGAACATAAGTTCAATGACCGCATGTACAGTGTTTCCCCAAGAGCAAAACACCACAGATAAAAACAACTGCTCCCTGAAGATTTCAACTCTAAATGAGTGGAAGAGGCTGTGTGAACATACAGTTAACTATTTGCTCAGTGCAAAAAGTCAGTGCAAAATCACAGATCTGGAAATAAGAAGAGAGCTTGATATGATGCTGAACTTTCTATACTCCTCCCAAAATAAAAATCAGACAATTAGTACAAATAACTATAAGGAATATGAAGCAAAACCTTTTCTAATTCATTAATGGTTTAGATTTCTGTACTCTGCTTTTTGCATGGAAGTTTAACTTCAAATTATATAAAATATATAAAATTATATAAATTATGTATGTAAAATTATATAATTATATATTATAAAATATATAATATACACTTTTCAAATTATATAAAATATTATATATGTATGTATTAAGTCTAGTCGACGTAGCAGAAGTTAACTGAGAACATAAAGTCTAATTTATTCAATAGTTTTAATAATGCTTGTTCAAAAGTAAGATAAAATCCAAGTTAAACTTTTTGTTATCCTGTTTTCCTACAAAAAGAGCATTCAAATGTATACAAATACAGACAAATGATTCCAAAAAACAGATTGAAAGCCAAAGGGTAGTTCTTTGTTCCTGTCTGGAGGTGGTAGCACCTAACAAATTCAGGCTAGAGCCTGTTATCTTCCTGAAGTAGCACCCTTGTATCAACAGAAGAAACCATCAAAAAACATAAAAAAGAATACATCCTCAAAAGTCAAGGTCAAGTTGGCATTTAAAGATTTACTGTGCATAAGTGATCACTTTTACTATAAATCAGGGTGTACATTTTAAAATAAATTTTAATGTTCTGAGAAGTATGTGGCAAATATTTGTGAAAAATGTTACATATATGTGAGTATATATGTATCATTTTATTCATTTGAGTAAAGATTTTAGTTTCTAATAGCATACTGTTACTAAACTTTTGGATCTTAAACCTTGGCACAAATTTAGAGACTTATTTGTCTTTGAATGTTCAGGTAATATGAAAAGAACACTTTGTGTCCTCTCATAGCTAAAAATCTGTCCAGAAGGGGAAAGTAAATGGGAGGGTCATGGTAGGCAGAGAACACAAATACTGTGAGGTAAGCCTGCATGTCCAAGTGCCCGGCATGCACCGCTGTCCTTGGTGGATGGAAGTCTTTTGTGGATTACGTACAGTACTACTTGCATTGCTTGTGAAACAGTTATGTTGGAACATCTTCTGTAGTTACCCCCACCCTGACCCTGAACTCAGAATTGCCAGTGAGAGGCTCTGCCTTTTCTCCATAGACACCCACTAGCCAGCCTCCTGGCCGCGAGCATGGTGTGCCAATGGCACCATGCTAACCACCACCCCTCTCTAACATTGCTCCTCAGTCTTGACCCTACCCCTATAATCCCCCTAAGCATTGTTCCTGCCTTCCATCAAACACGAGACTCACCTTCTTCGTGAAGATGACCTAACCACCTCTCCCCTAACTTCAGTTACTGCTTCCAAATGCCACTGCCTATGAGCATGAGCCAAAAATCCCAATCACAAAATGGGTGTTAGGCCCAAAGTTTATATGTGAGTTCATAAGTTGGTTCTGCAGAACTTAAGACACATTTTCCAATAAAAGCAATGTCACAACTTGTGGTCAGGATACCTATTTGATCTATGACATTGCTAACTATAATACATTTAAATAAAAAGTAGGAGGGGGAAGGAAAACACTACTGTACAATTATCAAAATAACATCAGAGTCACCGTATCTATGCTGACTAACTTGAGAACCTATCCAAGATAAGATGGCCCACCATCCATTGTGAAAATGGAACAGTAAAATATGACCATGTTCTTTCTGATGCATGAGGGGGCTAGGACAAAATAGCAGGGGCGGGGGAGGACATCATACAGATTAATGAGTGATAGAATATATAGGTCCTGACATTTTTTCCCTGACTGATGGATCCCAAAACGCCTAAAACCTCTGTCTTGTGCCTTATTCTTGGAACCCAGGCCATGTGAAAACCTGTCCAAGAAACAGAGCTGCAGAAGGCAGAAGGAGAGAATGAGAGAGAGAAATACAGTGGTTCAAGGAGCACTTTTCCCTCACTAGGTTTCCACTCTGGGAGTGTCTCCCACTTGGCCATTCTGAGCTGCCTGTTTATATGTGTGGATGTCTGGACCACAAGGCAGGCTGACACTGAGCTTTACACAGCTCTAGTTGTACACTTTCTAGTGGCTGAGGAAATCTGAAAATATGAAAAGCTTAAGTTGAACCATTTAAAGCACTTAACACATTTCTTTTTTTCTCATGAAGCTAAAAGAGCATAGGATAAAAACAAATGAAGAATATAACGTTAACAAAGGCCATCTTTTTAAACAGTGTTAACAAAGGCCACCCTTTTTCACTTCCCAAACTCATCACTGAACGACTGTCTCTAGGAGTCTTCCGGGGAGCTCAGTGTTCTGTAAGGGTTTCAGCTGATGATAATATTGGAGACAACCAGTAATTTACTGAAGTTGTAAAAACTCAAAAAGGATTAAGCCTTTATATTCTCCCACAAAAGCACCCGAGAGTAAAAACACTCCTCTGCCCCAGGGCTTCAGAGTGTGCCATTTTAATTTACATGTCAGCATAACCAGTGAGCTTTCTGATTGCTACATTTATCATCCATGCAGAGGCCAGAAATGCTGCTCTAAGCACTCATGCATATTTTTCCAGTTGACAAACCCTTGCTATCACATCCCTGCTGTCTTTTCAAAGTTGTGAGCTGATTAATTATCCTTCAGGGTTACCTTCTACTCAGAACAAACGGTACTGAAAAAAAGTACTTACTCCCTCGAAAGCACACCATTGGCCAGAATCCCTTCATATCGACTGATCCCTTTGCGCTGAAGCACACTGATCTGGCCACCCAGTTCATCAGCAATTATTCCTGCATGGATGGCAGCTTTGCACAATAAAGAGGTCTGAAACACAGCAACATTATTATGCAGAACTTAAAAGAACACAGTTAAAATATAGTTGGCGTTTTCTATTTTGTTTCTGTGGTAATTTATAGCAGTGGCCCCAATGAATAAAGCCTGCCAATGGCCATGTGGAGTGGTCACCTCCCTCACTGACTCTGGGCCATGTGGCTTACTTTGTTCTGCTGCAGATAACAGGGCCTAGCCAACCGCTACACATGTGACTGAAGCCACCTTAGACTCTCGAGCCCCAGTTAATCTGCCATATGATGGTAGCCACAAGAGCGATTCCAGGCTAAGGGAGCTTACTAATCCAATTCAGTGTGGGTGGAGCCCAAATTACTCACCCTCAAACTCATCAGCAAATAAAATAGCTGCTACTTCAAGCCACTACATTTTGGAGTGGCCTGTTAAGCAGAAATTGATAACAGATCCAGTTTCTTATACTTAGGCTATTAGACACACATGCCAAGTTATCATTTATGAAGCTGAACTTTCAATTCCACATATTCATTTTTAAATTAATTTAGAGATTTATCAAGGTACCAAAACGACAATGGTAATGACAGCCACAGAACATTAAATGGAACAGAAAGCTTAACGAAGTTCCTAGAGGGATGATGAGCAACTCAGGGCTGACAGCCTCCATCTCACTTCCTGAATCCCCTCAGGAGGCATCAAAAAGCCAGTGCCAGCTCAGCCCTGCGATGTTCAGTATGAGGTGTCAGCAGGCTGCTGGCTGTTCTGACAGATGCAGCAGGAGCAGCAGACTGGCTCTGCTTTACAGGCGGTTGTGGGATTGGAATCAGCTCTGTCAGGAACTGGGGCTACAGAAATGACTAGAACTTTCTATGGGGTGCCCAGGCCTGTCGGTCCCCAAGCAAAGACCTCTGTGGAAGGGTGAAAGGCACTCAGACCCAGGAGTGAGGGGATAAGAAACATAATTTCCTAAATAAACCTTAGCTATGTTCCACTTCTTCATGAGTATTAATGCCAACATAGAAAAGCAGCTCATGAAATTGTGTCTCAATAACTGGACTCAAGAATTTCTCTTTTTGTTAATGACAATGCTGCTTACCTTATTTACAATGGAAAAGTTCCCTTAGACTTAAGTTACAATACTATGAGGACTAATGAGACAAATCATATTTTGCAATGAATATATTTGCAATAAAGTTGAGAACTTTGTGATCATCAATTTAGAGAGTTCCTATTTCCCAAACTACATTAGGTTTGGCAAAGTGAGTCAGTTTTGCAATAACTGCTATCATAACAAAAGAGAGGAAAGATTTCACGATAGAAAAAAAAAGAAAAAAACATGAGAATGCCTATGCAAATACTACCCTCCCTAATTTTGGAGGAAAAAAATAATTAAAATTAGAAGAGAAAAAGATGTACTCTTTAATAAGAATGCAGCTTGCATTGTTATCTTTCCTGAATTTTCTGTATATTTTTCCTGAATTTTCTTTCATTAAAAAGCTTTCTTATCATCAGTTTGGACTCCTGGGTCCAAACAAAATGGAGGAGCCAACTGAAAAGGAAAAGTCCAGAATTTAAATTTAGCAATTTATCTTGTCATCCTGGCTTTGCCTCTAACTCCACAAGGTATATGCAAGTCATTCCACTGCTCCTGACCTGGCTTCTCATTCCTCTGGACAACGACAAGCCTAGACTGGATGCTCTCTAGTGCATGGGTCTCCAACCCCCCGGGCTGTGGACTGGTACTGGTCAGTGGCCTGTTAGAAAACCGGGCCACACAGCAGGAGGTGAGTGGTGGGCGAACACACATTAGAGCCTGAGCTCTACCTCCTGTCAGATCAGCAAATGCATTAGATTCTTACAGGGGTGCAAATCCTACTGAGAACTGTGCATGTGAGGAAATCTAGGTTCTGCGCTTCTTATGAGAATCTAATTCCTGGTAATCTGAGGTGGAACACTTTCATCCTGAAACCATCCCCCACCCAGTCTGTGGAAAAACTATCTTTCACAAAAGTAGTCCCTGTTGCCAAAAAGATGGGGGACTGCTGGTCTAGTGTCTTTTCTGAAGGTCTGTCACTTTGTGACTCTAAAGGGTACCCAGTGCACCTTTTATAGGACCCATGCAGGCCTGTCTTCCTTGCTAAACCCCAGAATGAAAACCGAATTGGTTCAGTGGTCTGCTGGGCAGCTATTCCCACTGTCCTTGGGATCACTGGTCTTCATCCTAGGAACCCTGACTATAGAGAGCTCTCAATGTACTTAGAATGTTCCAGAGCCTCCTTGGCTATAAGAGGACAGGTTCGCAGGCCAACGAGCAACAGGATCTAACAGCATCATTGGCCAACAAATATTCTCCTTTCTCCCAGTACCCAGTATTGAAGGAATTCAATGGTGTATACCCTTTTTATAAAAATTTTATTTAATTGCAGCTATGGCTTTCCATAACAGGTTGCTGCAAAAGTAATTGTGATTTTTTGCCATTTCTTTTAATATTAATTGTAGGCTATAGGATACATCTCCAAAAGACTAACCATCAAGTTTCACTATCATATTATTATGATAAAATTACCAGCATTTTCCAGGATTATTTTCTTCAAAACAGTCACTCCCTCATCCATGCAACTTAAAGAAAATTGATGTTTATTTAAGTTGCCACATTTTTGGTATTGAATTTTTTCATTTTTATTTTTTGAGACAGAGTCTCGCTCTGTCACCCAGGCTGGAGTGCAGTGGCGCGATCTCGGCTCACTGCGCACTCCACCTCCTGGGTGCACGTCATTCTCCTGCCTTAGTCTCCCAAGTAGCTGGGACTACAGGGGTCCGCCACCATGCCCAGTTAATTTTTTGTATTTTTAGTAGAGACAGGTTTCACCGTGTTAACCAGGATGGTCTCGATCTCCTGACCTTGTGATCCACCTGCCTCGGCCTCCCAAAGTGCTGGGATTACAGGCGTGAGCCACCGCGCCTGGCTGGTATTGATTTTTAAAATTCACATTTATTGAACCTGGCTTTTGAAAATTCCCTTTTGAAGAGATGGTACAATTTATGTCTTTATTTTTTAGCTATTTTGAAGTCTAAGTCTCACTGAAATGTAAATATTGGAAAGTCGTATTACCTAGCCTATGTACACGGGTACATATTACCTAGCATGTGTACTTAGCCTATGTACATTCTGCTCTGTAGAGCAGACCGTCTCTACAACCAGCTGGGCAGAATTTGCTGGAAAAAGAAAAATAAATAATTTATATTTTATTAAATTACACAACCAAAAAATATTAAACTGTACTTAAAGTTTTAAAGTATTTTCTGCCCTCCATATAATATCTTGCTTTAATGGCAAATTAGAAACCTGATTTGTGAAAATACAGATTGATCTACAATGTTCATCTGAAGGCAACTTTTACACAATAATTCTTTGTTTTATATAAGGATTCACCATAAAGTCTATTAAACAATAAGCTTCCTGGCTGGGCACAGTAGCTCACGCCTGTAATCCCAGCACTTTGGGAGGCCAAGGCAGGTGGATATGAGGTCAGGAGATCGAGACCATCCTGGGTAACACGGTGAAACCCTGTCTCTACTAAAAATACAAAAAATTAGCCGGGCATGGTGGCAGGCGCCTATAGTCCCAGCTACTCAGGAGGCTGAGGCAGGAGAATGGCGTGAACCCAGGAGGTGGAACTTGCAGTGAGCCAAGATCACACCACTGCACTCCAGCCTGGGCGACAGAGCTAGACTCCGTCTCAAAAAACAAACAAACAAACAAACAAAAAATACAACGAGCTTCCCTAATGAATTTTACTTGATACTAAGACGTTCAGCTATCCCTGACAAATGGTTTTAATTAGTAAATTATCTTAAACAAAATATACTTAAACAGAATAATGTAAATGTAATAATTCTTTAGGAAAGGGAATGCAATGGCCAGCTGAAGAGAATACCTGCATGGCTCAGGCAATTGGAGGTGGATGGCATCATCTACAATAAACATCTCTGAAGCTCACTAAGCCATAAATGATGGCCAAATAGATCAGTGTGAACTAAGGCTAAACAACTTTCAAGCAACTATCAAATCATCCCAGCATTTTCTTAACTCTTCCTTTAGGAAAAATCAACTTGTATTAAAATAGTGTTGACAATGTTTTAAAAGGAAGTGTAACAAAAAAGTAAACATTTTAGATTGCATTTAATAAAACATGAACCAAAACCAGTAAGGTAGAATAAAGCACACGTGTAAAAATGTTGGTGGAATGGTAGCAAAATGTTAAATTATCAAATATATGCCTCTTTCCATAATATGAATTATTTCTGTGCTGTTATAGTTCTAATTACCGTATCAATAATGTTTTCTTCATAAAACGTGCATTCTTTATAGAGATGTTGGAAACAATAAAAAAAAAAATTCACCCATATTGTCACTACCCAGAGATAATCACTTGCCATTATAATGTATTTCCTTCTGGCTTTTTCTGGGTGTGTACAAGAGGCCCAGTTTCTCCCCTTCTCCTCCTAAACTGCAGCGCACTACATGTTTACTGTCTATTTTACAGTACTTCTTGAACATTCTGGGGAGAGGAGAATTGCTGAAACAAATTAATTAAGTGATGTGTTCTGCTTAAAAACAGATGGTTTAGTTAGCAGGCTGGGGAGAAGGTGCCAAAAGAAAAACTGTTCTGGGGGCAGGTGAGGCAGATATTAAGAGAAGCCCATATTCCTTCACTGGCATTGGAAACATACACCAATTTGGATGCCTAAATTTGTCAGTAGGAGACAGAACTACCTAATCTCAAAAATTCAAAAAGGCCTTTAAAGTTTCCCCCTCACACCTCCTGACAGACCACCCCTGTCTGTCTCTACTCCACAGCAGCCTTCCCACACAAAGACAGTGTATCCCTGACAAATGGTTTTAACATCTACACCTGACATTTCCAGTGACTAGGAAATCACTGTTTCTCGAGACAGCCTATCCCATTTTGCATTGTTCAATTATTCCTTATATGCAGCTGAAATTGGCATCCCTATAACTTTTATCCATTGATTCCAGTTCTGTCTTTTGGAGTAACACAGAATAAGCCAATACCTTTTCTACAATAGCTCTGTAAGACAATATATTCTTCCCTGAGACAGGGTACCTACTTCTTCAATAGCTCCTCTAGTTATTTATTTTACATATTCTGTTATCCTGACCTACAGGATATGCTTTGATGTTGCAAAATTCTTCCGAAAAGACTTGCTACAACTGAATACATTTCCCAAGATGAAGGCACTGTGGAGGCAGACTCCAAGATAACCCCCATTGATCCCCACTCCCTGTATCCCATCTTGTGGGATTCCTCTGAATCCCCCTGAGTGTGGATGGGAGCTGAGATTTTCTTCTAAGTCTATAAGAATATGGCAAAAGTGAGGGGATACCACTCCCATGATAACATCATATAAGAGTGTAATCTATCTTGCTAGGAGATGCCTTTGCTCAAAGACTCTCCCTTGTTTGCTTTGAGGATGCAAGTGGCCACGTTGGGAAGGTCTACATGGCAAGAACTGAGGATGGCCTCCAGGCAAAATCCAGGAAGAAACCGAGGCCCTCAATCCAATAATCCACAAGTAACTGAATGCTGTCAACACCACATGAGCTTAGAAGCAGATCCTTCCCCAGTTGAGCCTCCAATGAGATTGCAGCCCCAGCTGACACATTTGTTGCACCCTTCTAAGACCCTGAAGCAGAGAACCCAGCTAAACCATGTCCAGTCTCCTAACCCACAGAAAATGAGATAATAAATATGTGCCACTTTAAGCCTCTAAGTTTATGGTAATATTATTATGCAGCAATAAGTATATAATACATCCATGACACTGACATATACAAAAAGGCACTAATCCGAATTCTTCGAAGAGAGTAGCTTTCGAAACACAAAATTTCCTTCCAGATAAAATCATTCTAAAAGCAAACAGTGCAAAATCAGTTAGTGAGTCAAATAGGAAACCTGTTTGCCAGCACTTAAGGATCATGTACTCCCATCTACCATGCAGGAAATCATTTACCTGTTACGCTAAAAAATATAGCTCTGTCAAGAGGTAAGATAAACATCCACAGTAAGAAAAAACTATGCTATTTCTCTTACTGTACATAATTCTTACATTTCTTGCATAGAACAGGAAAATAATAAATAAAACTTTCTTTTGCTGGGAAAAAAATGTCAACTTTTTATTTCTCTTAATTCCCTGTAGTCACTTAAGAATCGTTTGAGCCAAGTAAACCTTCAAACTGAAATAGTGTAAAACATTTTAAGAGTCAATTTGTAGGTCAAATAAGTATTCTGTGTCAATCTTGTAAATAAAAATATGGAAAAGTGGAACTAAAGGCAAAGTAACAACAAAATCTGCTGTTCCCAGGATCAGAATATGCTAAAAGAGAAAATTACAATCAAACTTTTCCCCCACACCACAGAGGATTTATCAATCACCTGGAACAAGTAGATAAAGGTTATTTTCCCACAGGCATAAAAATACACGTTAATAACTTTAAGAACAGTTTCACAACAATAGGTTTTTGCTATAGATTTCTAATAACTTAAGGCACTTCTCAAAAGCTAGGCTATAAACCCAACTACTTCAAATAGCAATGTAAATTTTTAAACAAATCAGATACTAGATTTCCAGAACAGAAATCTGTAAATAGAAACAAGTGGAGGATTATGTATCTGAGATAGGACATGCAGGAACAATGTATTACTACATAACCCAGGCAGTCTTCCTGGACATAAGAACTTGGTTTGCAAAGAGAGAGGGGAATAAGAGCAGGGTGGATGGCTTCATTGGCCTCAGACACAATGTCACTATTCTATGATGTGAATATTCATGTCCTTTGCTCTATTACAGGAACCAGTTGGAATGTTAAAGAAATAAACCATAACAAAAAGGATGCAAATCCATAACCTCTTACAAAAAGTGGATGGGATAATACTCTCAGATGGTAAAGGTTTGTTTTTCATTTCATTTATAATAAGCTTAGCTGGAAATGCTAGAAATAGGAATGAATGCATGGGTAACCCTGGTTTTTATACTTATTTCATTTATTCTCAGAGAAGAGAGACTCATGCATCTATCTAGAGTTTGTTTTTGACTTTACTCAGTAATTAATTTACACAGAGTAAAGCACTTACTCCTTTTAATTCATTCTCTGCCATTACCCTCAATTACTTACATCTCTATATCCATCTACCATATTCCCAGAAATGTCTCCTGCTACGTCTCTACAACCAGCTGGGCAGAATTTGCTGGAAAAAGAAAAATAAATAATTTATATTTTATTAAATTACACAACCAAAAAATATTAACCTGTACTTAAAGTTTTAAAGTACTTTCTGCCCTCCATATAATATCTTGCATTAATGGCAAATTAGAAACCTGATTTGTGAAAATACAGATTGATCTACAATGTTGATCTGAAGGCAACTTTTACACAATAATTTCTTGTTTTATATAAGGATTCATCATAAAGTCTATTAAACAATGAGCTTCCCTAATGCATTTTACTTGATTCTAAGACGTCCAACAAATATTTTTCAGAAACAGAAACATTTCTAAACATTATATATAGTATAATCTTGTTTCTATGAGAAATGTTTAAAATATGTAACAATTTTGTTTTCTATGGATAAAAAAGACAAAGAAGAATATCCCTAGATTCTCTCTGGCAGTAAGATTGTGAGGAGCTTTCACTTTCCATGTTATATATACTGTAATATTGCCATTATATTAGTACAGTCTGATAGAAATATAATGGGAGCCACACACACAAATTTAAATATTCAAGTAGTCATATTTTTAAAAAGTAAAAAGAAACGTGCAAAATTAATAATATATTCTATTTAATCCAGCATGTTCAAATTTTATCATTTCTACATGTAATAAACAGAAATAAACACCAGTAAGATATTTTCTCTTTTTTTGATTTAACTTCCAAAATCTGGGGTGCATTTTATACAACACACCTCAATTTGCACTCACCACAGTTCAAGAGTTCATTAGCTACCCGTGGCTAGTGGCTACCACATTAGATGGTCTGGTCCACATTAGTTATGAAATACTTTTGCAATCAGAAAAAAAGTATATATTTTAAAATTAGGATTCCAAGGCTGGTGCACTGGCCCACGCCTGTAATCTCAGCACTTGGGGAGGCCAAGGCGGGTGGATAACCTGAGGTCAGGAGTTCAAGACCAGACTGGCCAACATGGTGAAACCCCGTTTCTACTAAAAATACAGAAAAACTAGCCAGTGTGGTGGCAGATGCTTGTAATCCCAGCTGCTTGGGAGGCTGAGGCAGAAGAATCACTTGAACCTGGGAGGCGGACTTTGCAGTGAGACCAGATCACACCACTGTACTCTAGCCTGGGGACCAAGAGCAAAACTCTGCCTCAAAAAAAAAAAAAAAAAAAAAAAATTAGGATTCAATTTACTTAACAGTCATTTTTCAAGAAACTTTCCAGAAATATGTCATAGCATGTGGTGCAGCCGAAGGGTGTCAGTGCTAGGAGCAGAGAGGCCCAGTCTCCGGCACTACCTAGCAAGCAGTGGGACCCTGATACTGCATATAATCTCTCTTAGATTGTTTCTTCATCTCTAGTCCCTTCAAGTGTCAACATATCAACAAGATATGAAGAAAGTTATAAACATCTATAAAAAACACACAAAAAGGAAGCCAAAGTATTATAAGAATGTTGTCAGCTTTGAAGATGCATGCCATGTGCCCTTACTTCTATATATATACCACTTTACATAATGTTTACTTGGTTTGTTTAAAAAGAGTGTACCAGCCCAAACAGATTCCAGAACAGAAGTTGTTTTTATTCCATTTCCTCTCAGTGTCCTCTTGCTGACTTGGCAAATTATATATGTAACAAGTAATTATCAGAACTATCCAAATAAATATTCCATAATTTTTTCCCATTGACCTTTTGGAGTCCCTGCATTGCAGCAGTACTTGTGGAATTAAGAAATAAAAATAGTGAGAATTCCCATTACAGGGTAACAATTCCCTAGAGCCAATTCCCTTAGAATCAGCTGTATTTCAGAATTCAGAATTTCTTGGCTTCTAGAAAAGTGAAACAGTTCTAATGATGTATATGATGTAATACGCTGGTGGGGTCTGCAGACATTAATAAAAAACATTAAAATACCTGTGTCAAATGCCTTAATAGTCATATTAAATAACATATGTAAAGATTAAATGGTCTCATGTTAACCTAGTCCAATTTGGCTGTCAAACTAATTTAAGGTCACAGTAATCAACAATCACCACCAAATGAGTCACAAAAGGCTTTCAAAACTTTCTACACTTCATAATTACAGATGAGCGCTTGTGGACCTGTATTAGTCACCAGGCCTTTTCTTTAATCTAAATACTACAAAATGGCTGGGCTAAAGCTGAGATCTCTGGCACCATAATGCCACCTTGTAAGCTTGGATATATTCCCTTTCTTTAGGAGAACAGGAAATGACCATTTGATACCCAGAGGCCCTATCACCAGCTGGGACTGTAGAGGTAGAGCTAGAATAGATAATACTGGCATACGTGTATATTGGATGAACAGTAACTTTAAAAGCAACATTTAATTATTGCTCATTTTCATTATTCCCCCTATTAGACTTAATATTAGTTAACACTAGAGTTGTTCCTGCACATAAAATAATCTCATTCATTAGAATGTCCAAATGTCTGAGATAGGACTATGGGCTCTGAAGCCTGACTCCCTGGTTACACTTACGAGGTATGTAGCCCTCAGCAAGTCTTAATTGGTTTGTACCTTGTTTTTTAGGATGTAACAGACCCTTCCTTGCAGACATGTTGAAATGTTCACAAGAGCTACTTCCTCTGTGCTGAGTGCAGAGAGCTATACTGGGCACTAGGAAAGCACTCTAGAGAGTCACAGGTGGGGGCCATGCTTCACACCTGTAATTCCAGCACTTTGGGAAGCTGAGTCCAGAAGTCAGAGATCAGCTTGGACAATATAGAAAGACACCCATTTCTTAAAAAATTTAAAAATCAGCCAGCTATGATGGTGCACACCTGTTGTCCCAGCCACTTGGGAGGCTGAGGCAGAAGCATACTTTGAGCCCTGGAGTTTGAGGCTGTAGGGAGCTATAATTGTACCACTGCACTCCAGCCTGGGCAAGAGAGCAAGACCCTGTCTTGGGAAAAAAAAAAAAAAAAAAAGCCAAAGTTTTTGTTAGTGTTGTTGACAATGATCTCTAGACAGTGGTTCTCCACTGGGGGCGATTCTGCCCACCATGAGACATTTGGCAACGTCTGGAGACATTCTTGGTTATCACAACTGACATCTAGGACACAGAGGCCAGGGATGCTGCTAAATATCTAACAATGCGCAGGACAGCCCTGCAATATAAAGAATTACCTGACGCAAAATATCAACAGTGCCAAGGCTAAGAAATTCTGCTTTAGACTGTTTTACTTGATAGATAAGGAAATGTGCATCAAAGTGGCTAAGTAGTTTTTCAGGTTAAAGCTGGGTTGAGAATTTTCACCTTCTTATTTGCAGTAGGTTTTTCTCTAGTGGTAAAGACAAAATGCGCCTCCTCCCAAATGAAAGAATTGTAAAAGTCACTCCCAAATACCAGCCAGGAAAAAAAAATACAGTCTAGACTCAGTAATGATTCCCTGGCCCTATAGTGGAACTCAGGGGTCAGCAAACTATGGCCTGTGGACCAAATCCACCCTACTGATGTTTTTGTAAATACAGTTTTACTGAAACACAGCATGTCTGTTAGTGAATACATTGTCTGTGGCTGCTTTTTTTTTGCTATAACAGCAACAGAGATTATATGAATAAATGCAACAGAGATTGTATGGCCTGGAAAACCCGAAATATTTATTATCTACCCCTTGACAGAAAATGTTTGCTGACTTCCTGCTATATAAGAAACTATTTCAAATATTCCTCATTAGTACAACATGAATGGTTAAAAAGAGCTTTCAGTACAAATGTATCTGGTTTAATGTGAAGGAAAACAAAATGTTCAGCAATACACAACTACGGCAACACAGTTAGGATACCTATATTTACCTGTATTCTGTCTTCAAATAATGGCTAGCTCGTTCCAAACACGTTATTAAATCTGTCATAAAGATAATTGCAATAGAATGAATAAAAACTAGGACACTCATGCTGCAAAGCTTTCTTTTAAAATAAAAGAGAGTTTTGAAAAAGCATTTATTCACTACATAGTTATCAGAATTTTCCTTTTAAAAATAAATACTGAGAATCACCATCTCCAGTACTTAATGAGTTCATTTCTTTTTTCTGCCACCAATGATAGTTTTCCAACACAGTCATCTAGTAAATGATAGCAGAATCTATAGTCAACAGGAAAAAAAACAACAACGCTCTTTAGTTGCTACCCACTATATGCCTACAAAGACCGTATGTATAATGTCCCCTGGCAGGAAGAAAACAATTTCAAAAGCCCAACATAGTTCATAGAGAAGGTTCCCACAAACATTTTAATTCAATAATTTAGCCAGTGGCATCTGGTGACAGAGAAGCAGACCTTTACCAAGAAAACCTACAGCATATAAGCTTTCATCAACCAGGACCAAGCATTTTAAAAAAGAAGGTGCTCTCTGGAGTAATTTACAGAATGAAACAAATATTCAGCAATAGAGGCTAAGATACAGTGGATCTCGATGCATTTAGATCAACATAGTATGGTTTCCAAAATATTCCACACCTTCTGTAATAGTTCTTTGGGGGCAGTATATGGTGAACACTGGCCATGCAGGCATCTGCTGTGATTAGTCAGAGCTGATTGACTAAGAGGAAAATGAATGGCACACCTCATTCCCAGAGCTCTTCTGCCAGAGAGGACTGAGAGCAGAAACCTCTATGACCATAGGCAGACATGGTATGGGCTGCACAGTAATTACTCTGAAGCACAAGAGCCCAGGACAGGAGCCCATGCTTTTCTCTCTCACCAGTGTTCGTGTTTCCCTTCCCTTCTCTCCCATACAAGTTTCAGCTTTACAGTTATTACACTGTGTGACACTGACTTCCTCATCCTGCACACACTGTGCATGCCTCCCGTGCAGGTGTACTGGTGTGTGTTGGGGAGGGGCTCACTGGTGAAAAGGCTTGCCCCTGAGCTAGGAAGGAGGTTGGGGGAGGGCTCCAGAGAATAGTGAGGACAGAAGATCAGGAGGGGAACACAAAGGTGTGTTATGTAAGGTTTTTAGGAAAAATGAGATGAATTCTATCCCATATAAGTCAACTGATCAATCAAACATGCTAATAAGCTTGTCCAATCCATGCCCCTTGGGTCACATGCAGCCCAGGATGGCCTTGGATACAGCTCAACACAAATTCCTAAAGTTTCTTAAAACACAATTATAAAATTTTTTGCAATTTTTTTTTAGCTCATCAGCTATTGTTAGTGTATTTTACGTGTGGTCCCAAGACAATTCTTCTTCTTCTAATGTGGCCCAGGGAAGCCAAAAGATTGGACACCCCCGTGCTACAACATGATTCAGTTCAGACCTAACCATTTACAAAGATACAATGTTCCTCTTCTCCCTCATCTCTTAATTCTGCATCCCAGACCACAATTACGTCCAGGGATGGTGATAAGTAGCAAGAGGAATTCTTACACAGATAAGGTTTAGACATATGTATTGATTCTTCTGTTATACCTGGATGGTCGCTGCTCGCATAGGTGAGCAAAAAACCCCGGCCAGAAATGTGGGATCCACTCTCAAAGCGGACGGTGACTTCACTTGTGTTCAACAGGAGTTCTCTGGGAACAGTCATACTTCCACAGTACGGACCTAAAAACAAAGCACACTTGTGGCACATTTCAAAATTTATACCAGCACAAATGATTAGTATATGGCATTTTTTTTCCTTTAAAGGCCAAATTTACTAGACAATACATATGTATGATAATAATCTTTACCAACTGAAATTTAGCTTGACGCCCGGACTCATAATTTCTGACTGATTGTGAACTAAGCCAAGGGGAAAGTGACTTACTCTAGACAAGCAATAGGCTGGAACTAGTCAACTGTGAGCAACCCAAGAGATAGGTTTTGGTTTTTGTAAAAAGACAAAGGTTAAACACATTAGGTAGTAAAGAAAATTTTATTACAAAAATGTTATTTTAGGGGCCTCCTAAATTTGCTCAAATAAACTAAAAAAAAATCTTTTTTTCAGGGAAGTTTTAAAGTTAAAAGACTTGGCAAAGCATGGTAAGAATTTTATCAACATGCAGCATACACATTGATATTTCCTTTACAGTAACTTCTGGTTAACCCCCCCAATTCATTTTGATTTATAAAACGTATACAAAAGCAGAATAACTTCTAAAGTGTTTTGAAATATTATAGTACAAATTATACAATTAAGGGTATAATGTTTCTAAAATAAGTTTCTTGAAAAGCAATAGGAACTCAATGAACTTTCAAAGGGCAAAATTACACTTGGAACTTAAAATAACAAAAACTCTTCCTAAGACTACGCAAACTAAAGTTCAGCTTTTAAATTGTCATTTTGAAAGTAACATATGTAGGACAATCTCTATGAAACAGGGATTAGCAAACAAACTTTGAAGAGAGGTATTATTTATTAACTTCTCTCAAAACAGTATGGAAATAGCGGCAACAACAATCATGATCAAGGAAGAAGAATAAAAGAAAAAGACAGCTCCAAGTCAATATGAATAAAACCTGGGTTATATTGACCAGAACCAATAGGGACAAAACTGCTTGATATGGTTTTGCTGTGTCCCCACCCAAATCTCATCTTGAATTCCCATGTGTTGTGGGAGGGACCTGGTGGGAGGTAATTGAATCATGGGGGAAGGTGTTTCACGTGCTGCTCTCATGATAGTGAATAAGTCTCATGAGATCTGATAGTTTTTAAAAAAGGAAGTCCCCTGCAGAAGCTCATTTCTCGTCTGCCACCATGTGAGACGTGCCTTTTGCCTTCCACCATGATTTGAGGCTTCCCTAGCCATGTGGGACTGTAAGTCCAATTAAACCTTTCTTTTGTAAATTGCCCAGTCTCAAGTATGTCTTTATCAGCAGCACGAAAACAGACTAATACAGTAAGTTGGTGCCAGTAGAGTGGGGCGCTGCTGAAAAGATACCCGAAGATGTGGAAGTGACTTTGGAACTGGGTAACAGGCAGAGGTTGGAACAGTTGGAGGACTAAGAAGACAGGAAAATTGGAACTTCCTAGAGGTCTGTTGAATGGCTTTGCCCAAAATGCTGACAGCGATATGGACAATAATGCCCAGGCTGAGGTGGTGTCAGAGGGAAATGAAGAACTTGTTGGGAACTGGAGCAAAGGTGACTCTTGTTCTGTTTTAGCAAAGAGACTGGTGGCATTTTGACCCCGCCCTAGAGATTTGTGTAACTTTGAACTTGACAGAGATGATTTAGGGTATCATGTGGAAAACATTTCTAAATAGGAAAGCATTCATGAGGTAACTTGGGTGCTGTTAAAGGCATTCAGTTTTATAAGGGAAGCAGAGCATAAAAGTTCAGAAAATTTGCAATCTGACAGTGCAATAGAAAAGAAAATCCCATTTTCTGAGGAGCAATTCAAGCCAGCTGCAGAAATTTACATAAGTAATGAAGAACCCAAATGTTAATCCCCAAGACAATGAGGAAAATGTCTCCAGGGCATGTCAGAGGTCTTCAAGGCAACCTCTCCCATCACAGACCCAGAGACCTAGGAGGAAAAAGTGGTTTCCTGGACCAGGCCTAGGGTCCCTGTGCTGTGTGCAGCCTAGAACTTGGTGTCTCGTGTCTCAGCTGCTCCAGCTATGGCTGGAAGGGGACAACGCAGAACTCGGGCCGTGACTTCAGAGGGTGCAAGCCCCAAGCTTTGGCAGCTTTCATGTGGTGGTGAGCCTGTGGGTGCATGGAAATCAAGAACTGCGGTTTGGGAACCTCTACCTAGATTTCAGAAGACATATGGAAATGCCTGGATGCCCAGGCAGAAGTTTGCTGCAGGGGCCCTCATAGAGAACCTCTGCTTGGGTAGTGCAGAAGGGAAATGTGGGGTCAGAGCCCCCACACAGAGTACCTACTGGGGCACCATCCAGTGGAGCTGTGAGAAGGGGGCCACCAGACCCCAGAATGGTAGATCTCTTGCACCGGAAAAAGCTGCAGACACTCAACACCAGCCTGTGAAAGCAGTGGGGAGGGAGGCTGCACTCTGCAAAGCCACAAGGGCAGAGCTGCCCAAGCATGGGAACACCTCTTGCCTCAGCGTGACCTGCATGTGAGACATGGAGCCAAAGGAGATCATTTTGGAGCTTTTAAGATTTGACTGCCCCACTGGATTTCAGACTTGCATGGGGCCTGTAGCCCCTTTGTTTTGGCTAATTTATCCCATTTGGAATGGCTGTGTTTACCTAATGCCAGTTTTCAAATCACATTTTTTGTATTAACCCACTAATACACCCCTCCCCAAATGGTGATGATGATAGTAATCTCTCCTTACATTTCTATAGCATTCCAATGAGTTCTAATGAAAATGCCAGTTCCCCCAATGTATCTAAGAAGTAACTAACTTGCTTTTGATTTTACAGGCTCATAGGCAGAAGGGATTTGCCTTGTCTCAGATGAGATTTGGACTGCAGACTTTTGAGTTAATGCTGAAATGAGTTAAGACTTTGGGGGACTGTTGGGAAGGCATAATTGGTTCTGAAATATGAGGACATAAGACTTGGGAGAGGCCAGGATCAAAATGATATGGTTTGGGTGTCCCCACCCAAATCTCAGCTTGAATTCCCATGTGTTGTGGGAGGGTCCTGGTGGGAGGTAACTGAATCATGGAGGAAGGTCTTTCCCATGCTGTTCTCACGAAAGCGAACAAGTCTCACGAGATCTGATGGTTTTTAAAAAAGGAGTTCCTCTGCACAAGCTCTTTTCTCTTGTCTGCCACCAGGTGAGACGTGCCTTTTGCCTTCCACGATTTGAGGCTTCCCCAGCCACGTGGAACTGTAAGTTCAATTAAACCTTTCTTTTGTAAATTGCCCAGTCTCAAGTATGTCTTTATCAGCAGCATGAAAATGGACTAATACACTTGCTAAAGAGTCAGAAGATCATTACACAACTAAGCATTGCCCTCCTGGTATAAAGGATCCAATTTCTCTCTGTTCCAAGCTTCACATTCTGAAGATATGATAGAATAAGAAAGAAATGCTATATGCTTGATCTCACATGCCAAATTTCTAGCATTTCCTATTACTAAATTATAGTGAAATCTAAATAAAAACGTTCACTTAGAAGCATTCATCATATGTAATTACTTACATGAGTTAATACTTTCAAATTACTTAGAATAGTACCTAGCACATAGTAAGAGTTATATAAGTGCTTATTAAATAAATGAATATATTAAAAATAAGTAATACCTATTTTCTCTTTAGACTATGTTCCGTAGTGCAAGGAACTTTTATATCCATCCCTTTATCTCCAACAGACTGTACAGTACCTGGCAGGTGACAGCCTCCCAAAAACTGTTTGAATTGAATAGAAATGCTCTTTTTACAACAGTTTCTAAAAGCCAAATTCAACTAACAGATTCATAAAATATTTTTAATCTTGTCACTTTGAAACACTATGCAGAAGTCAGGAAGAGAAGTGTAAAGAAGCAAGAAAAAAAATTCGTGTAATGAATAATATGGATTTTTATAAACTTTAGTCTTGCTCACAAGCACAGCAGATAGGCAATTCAGACTAAATAAGTAGAATGATAAACATTTTTGCAAAGTTAAGGTGAGTCAGACAGCTATACTTGACTTTTCCAACTTACTCTGTTTGTTTTAGATATGTTTGAAATTCCTCTGTTCTTTGCACAGATATGAGGGGTGAAGATACTTGCTTTGTAAACCTAAGGATGAATATTATGAACTGTAACTTGTTGCTTTTAATAAGTTAGAATATTTTCAAATCACATTTTTTATATTAACCCACTAATACACCCCTCCCCAAATGGTGATGATGATAGTAATCTCTCCTTACATTTCTATAGCATTCCAATGAGTTCTAATGAAAACTGTAGGTGGCCAGGTACGGTGGCTCATGCCTGTAATCCCAGCACTCTGGGAGGCCAAGGTGGGCGGAGTCAGGAGGTCAAGACCAGCCTGGTTAACATGGTAAAACCCCATCTTTACTAAAAATACAAAAAAAATTAGCCGAGCATGGTGGTGGTGGATGCCTGTAATCCCAGCTACTCTGGAGGCTGACGCAGGAGAATTGCTTGAAACTGGGGGGTGGAGGTTGCAGTGAGCCACAATCCCACCACTGCAGTCTAGTTTGGGTGACAGAGCAAGACTGCATCTCAAAAAAAAAAAAAAACCCACAAAACACAAACTGTAAGGTAAGCAAGTCTAAATTGATTATCAGCGAGAACTTGTTTAGATTTTTTTTTTTTTTTTTTAGATTTCATGAAACAGTTGAAAGGAAAAGTTGTGAAAAGTATACATATTTTACACAAATAAGAGTGTATACCACCATACTAAGTTGTGCAATATATATGATTTCCTAGACCAAAAACATATAAATATAGTAAAACTCTAATTTGGTTTCATCCTCCCAGTTATGATAAGCATGTAAATATTTCTGGAAGCAGATCAAAGAAGGAAAATGTAAACACATACCCCTTTAATTACCCTTACCACACAGATATCAATCCCTTTCATATTTTTATTACTGTGCTGCAAAATTGTAACTACATTCTAGAGAGGGTAGGAGATACCCTCTCTGTATAAATATCATCATTGAGAGGATATTTGTTTTTCTTTTTTCTTTTT